TTTTATTGTTCATTGAGAACGGTGGAAGGGTTAATGCGCTGTATACACTTTGTATATATGATGTTGATCAGCTTATGGTATTTAGGATAGGGTAGAGAGCTTGTTAATTATGGTAGCTGAGATGGCAGCATGTGTACCAGCAAGCTAGTAAGAGTATAAGGGTATATTTTTGTATAGGATAATGGTGGAACCCATTAAGATGTGCAGTAGAACCGATGCATATTACAGATGGTCTATTATCTCCATTGACGCTGTAGTCATAAGTATATGCAGGCGGGGTGGAGGTGGTGGATTGTTAGTATATGTTGTGCGCGGGGAATGCTGTATAATAATAATATTTTTGGTAGGAGTATATATCTCAGTATAAAAAAAAAAAGGTAGTGTGATATAATAGATAGATTATGTAATAATCGTTATTATTTTATTTTTATTGGCTTTATAAATAGGATTATTTGTATTGTTACAGTTCACTTATTTAGCTGTATAAATTAGAATTACTTTCAGGATTTGATATTTATGTTACTATCCTAAGATTTAATAGACAGATAGATACAAAGGAAAGGGTAAATGACTGCATAATAACATGTGTGAAATAGCACAGTTATAGTGTAGACATGGGATAATGATATAATTAGGTTAAGGTGTGGTACCACCAGAAATAAGCTGATATATGATATATAATATTAATGAACATCATAGGTTTAGTAAGGTTAAAATTAACATTGTGTGTGAAGAAACTATTTTAAGAGATCGATATGCATTAATTTATATTGAATAGAAAACATAGGCCATATGATGTAGTAGGTGGAGTTAGGGCAGTAATCAGACGGAGAATAGATATTATAGGAGCATAGTTATTGCATAGTGCATGTAGGTATGAGTACATCTGTTGTATTCGAGACCAGTTTGTGTGGTGGAGCCCACATAAAACATGCGTGTAGAATATACAGAAGTACACAAAGTATTATGTTTATTTTGCTTGTATTTTAACTATTTAATTATTTTGTTTATTTATTTATTTTATATAAATTTATATATTTTTATATTATTTTATTTCATGTTATTATTATATAGCAATTTTTGATTTTATAAGAATAAGGCAGTTTATGCACTAACCTTTTAAGAATAAGGCAGTACTATATTTTGTACTGATTTTTTGTTATATTCAGGTTAATAGTTTTTACAGTTTCTTGTT